TAGCTTGTTTACCTGCCCCAGGCAGTGCAAGCGTACCTTGATTCATATCGATAGGGTTTACAAAATTTTTGGATTTTTCGGGTTTTACGTCAAAATTATTAAGGATCAAACTAGGTGGCTTAGGAACAGTCGGTGGTGGCAAGATAGATTCGATATCGCTGAAGGATGGAGAAGGAGGAGGCGAAAGTTCAGCCGATCTGTTTTCTGTTGTTTCAGGACGAAAAGGAATAACAGTACTAAAGAGATCAGGGGTTGAATAAGTTAAAGAAGAAGAAAGTGGATCAAAATGAACAATAGGAGTATGAGGAAAATGAGAACGAGGTGAATGTTGCAATATGTTAGCAGTCTGTGTGGACTGTTTAAGTTGTGCGTGTACAATTTCAGAAATAGGCGTGATTGTACCGATCGGAGTAGAAGAAAGAGGTTAACACTTTCCGCTATAGTTGTTGAATACTGGACTCATTGCTTTGCGTAACTTATGAAAAACCTCTTTAAACTTGTGAATCATGCGATCAACTACTTCTCTATTCATCAACCCTTCATCACGGATTTCTTCAAAACTACGCCTGTAATAAGCACGAATAAAAGGGAAACGAGTGTCTAAGAATGCAATGGCCGGAATCATACTTTTCTCAAAAGAGAAACTATTATGAGGGTTGATTCCGAACTGCGGTTCCACAAGATCATAGTAAGCTTCAATGTTTGCCGCCGACGTCAGTTCGCTTTCAGTAATCTCTTTAGAGAAGTAATTTTCCCAGCTACGCGGTGGCGCAAAGTTTAGTGTCGCTCTCATCTCCGTCTGGCTTATCATCTCCAGCGATTCATAAAACAAAATCTCATTGAGAACGCGTACAATATTATGCTTCAGAGTGTTGTTCCATATCTGCTCATGATCCTCACTACTCAAACACGTTTTGGACAATTTCGCCATCTCAGTGTCGAAGTCAAACACTTGTAGTAACATAGGCGTCGTAGGTGCAGAAATGGACAGAGAGCTGTCAGGGAAGGCTACGCTTTCTGAAAGTTGTTCATTATCTCACTTCACTAGAAATGTCAGTTGAGAATAGAATTTTGAATCGTCGAATCATTTATTTTCAATTGATTTGTCATACCTGCAAGGAAGAGCGTCGCAAGGAACAGACTGATTACGAGTGGAGCCACCATGTATTCACCTGAAAGTTGTGAAGTTGAAAGTATTTACGTGAAAGAAATACGTGTAAATAGCGCGTTGATATCAATGTAAACTGAGAACAAAACAAGAATAAAAAGAACAGAAATTATAACCGAAAGATATTTATTCTTCCATAATGACTTTTGATACCTTCGGAGATCAGAAACTAAGTTTTCTTATCTGTTATCTCATCTGGGCGGTTGTCAGGCTTGAAAACACCATGAACCTCATTAATTCTTAGGTCTTTCGCGGAAATTTGTCGGTCAGGGATACTCAGCAGCGTGAGGTCTTCTTAGATACGTTTGTGAAATATCACGAGAGTCCTCTTTAAACACAATGATGAATGTAGAACAGCATAGCCAGAAACTTCACGAAGAGCATTGTCAGAAAATTATTAAACATATTCTACATACTGTTCCTTATATAATCATAACTGAAGAATGTGATGAAGAGATTTCATTAATGACTTACACCTCACTTAATCACATCTTTCATTTTGATCACGATTTCGTAACAGAAACAATCAATGAAAGAAAGAATGGTCAACACATTAATCAATAGACATTGACGTGGTTTGGAAACGGTTCTGAAAAATAAAAAAACCGAGAGAATCTCTCGGAGTGTTTTTTTTAAATTAACAAAAACATTTTTCCTTCGCTGCTATCAGACAACCCTTAAATTCTTTATTTTGATTTGTAGTATTGCACAGGAATACTGAATTTCTCAACAAAAACTTTACAATGCAATTCATGGAACAGTTCTCAATTGAAGAATGAATTATTTGTGATTGTAATTGTAAACAGTAT